ACAGTAGCAAACAGCGAATAAAAACAGGGAGCACCTAAGTGCTATCCCAAAGAGGAGTAATGTGCTAAATACGAGTAAAATGTCACCTGTAGATCTGGGTAACTTGGTATAACAACCATGCACCATCTAACTAAACTTTTTTGCATTTTGAAAAACTTCTAATAAAATGTCATCAAAAAAGAACCAGCATAATAAATTCAACCAAAAGCATCAAAGTCACCTCAGGCCATTTGTCAAAAATCGCCCTACAAACACCAATCATTACTTCCAAGACCTTATTCGTGTGGTGTCCCTACTGAACTCTTTCCAAATGCAACCCATTCTCCCAGGCCCAGTTCAAGTCCTACCTTTAGGAATAAGCACCCTGCCTCCCCAACCCTGGCGCCCCAAACCACTGCCCTTCTCTGTGCTCTATTAACGATACCAGTCCAGAATTACCGAAAGGAAATGTTAGGTGTTACAGTAGACTGGGTCCTTTCAGCCTTAAAAACATTTAAAAAGCAAAAGCTGTTTTTTAGAGATACGGACCAAGATCGGTGAAGTGACGATGACGGCTGGGACCTACTTTAAATAACCCAGTGGGAGGAAGAGCCTGCGAACAGATGAGACAAGTCTGACAGTGACTGTGGGAGCGCAGTCAACAGTACACAGCCTAGTTACTCTACCCCAGTGTGAAGTTTTCCACTAGAAAACATACAAGGACAACTGTGGGCCTGGCTTTCTATCTACAAACCTCAAAATGTATGCCCAAAGGATTTAACTGGAATTTTAAAATTTGTTTTATCCTGCCTTGTAATCGATGAGCAAAAGTTCTTTGACTAACAGATGCAGAAAGAATGACAGGGTATCACTGGATGGCATTCCCTAATCCTAAATCTGTGTGAATATTAATGATGGATAAAAGCATTAGCGAAAAAGCGGCTAGAGAATTTTACAATGGATGGAGTGGGCTGGCACCATGCACCAATCTCAATTTCTAAGATTTAATTATTTATTTGAAAGACAGAGGGTAAGAGAGAGGCATGACAGGAAGAGATCATCTATGCCTGATCACCCCCCAGATGGCAACAAGCCAGAGCTGGGTCAGGCTGAAGCCGGGAGTCTGAACTCCACGGGAGTCTCCTACAGGCTCCACCATCACTCTCAGCACTAGAAGATGAGAGGCATTACGTGCATCTTGATGTGACGTGATAGGAAGTACATGCTGTCACCAAAATTTAACAAAATAAGCCCTTTAGATCCATCAGTTTATAGGAAATGCAAGGGACAGAAAAATTTTAGATGATACCATGAAGGTGATTCAGTAGAATCCCCTCTGGATGGATGACTCGGCTCCTTAAAGATCGGATTGTAAGAAAACCACACCGATGCAGGCATCCAGCAGACTAGCAGGTAGGACGGCCGCACTCCTCTCTGGAGCCCCTGGGCTGGACAGGCAGCTCCTGACTGCAGCTTCTGTGATGCGGACTCTGCGAGATCACAGTGACAGCTCAAGGAATCGGACTCCTGCCACGGGAGTTCTCCGCTCTTAGACACAAACCTGGCTCCAGATGAGCACTCTGTGTCTCTCAAATTAATAAAAGGAAAATAATAATTTTTTTTTTCAAAAGAAAAACAAAGGAAATCTGTAGATTAAAAAGGAACTTAAGAGATCAACGAAATGCAAGATGTAGCTTGTCTGGGTCATGGTCCAGAGTGTGAAAACATTGAGACAGGGCCAGTGCGGTGGTATAGGAGTAAAGCTGCTGCCTGCAGTGCTGGCCGGCATCCCATGTGGTCACTGGTTCAAGTCCCGGCTGCTCATCTTACAATCCAGCTCCCTGCTACGACCTGGGAAGGCAGTGGAAGATGGCCCACGTGCTTGGGGCTCCAGCATCCACATGGGAGACCCGGAAGAAGCTCTTGGCTCCTGGATTCATATCGGCCCAGCTCCAGCTGTTGCAGACATCTGGGGAGTGAACCAGCGGATAGAACTCGGGTAAATAATATTAAAAAAAATTTTGAGATAATTATGAAAATTGGAAAACTGGTATTTGATTTAAAGAAATGTTTTACCTGGTATTGTGATTTGTTCTACAAAATGCCTGATCTTTTTAAAATATATTTTTCACTTGTTTTTCATGTTAGTATATTAAAAATCCTTATTTTTACATGAAACATTTTCAAATATATTTCTGAAGTATACAAACATGAACTACTATGCATAAAATGGTATTCAAACCATTCACTGGGGTTGGGAACAGGAAAGACAGCTGTTGAAAGTAGAGGAAGGACACACAGGGCTTCATTATATTATTCTATTTCTGTGTATTTGTGAGAAGTTCCATAATATGTTTTAAGATATATTTTAATTTATTTTATTTTTTTTTGACAGGCAGAGTGGACAGTGAGAGAGACAGAGAGAAAGGTCTTCCTTTGCCGTTGGTTCACCCTCCAATGGCCGCCGCGGCTGGCGCACCATGCTGATCCGAAGGCAGGAGCCAAGTGCCCATCCTGGTCTCCCATGGGGTGCAGGGCCCAAGTACCTGGGCCATCCTCCACTGCACTCCCAGGCCACAGCAGAGAGCTGGCCTGGAAGAGGGGCAACCGGGACAGAATCTGGCGCCCCGACCGGGACTAGAACCTGGTGTGCCGGCGCCGCTAGGCGGAGGATTAGCCTAGTGAACCGCGGCGCCGGCCATAATATGTTTTTTAAAATGAGTTTTCCTTTGATAGTGTTATACTATAAAACATTTTTAAGTTCCTTCTTTATGACCATTTCTAGGCAGAAAAAAATAGAATTTTGTGGACTATTGACTAGTCTATTAATGTATAAATTTTTAAAATTTTTACTTGAGAGGTAGAGTTACAGACAGTGAGACAGACAGAGAGAAAGGTCTTCCGTCCGTTGGTTCACTCCCCAAATGGCCGCACTGGCCAGAGCTGCGCTGATCCAAATCCAGGAACCAGGAGCTTCTTCTGGTCTCCCACGTGGGTGCAGGGGCCCAAGGACTTGGGCCATGTTCTACTGCTTTCCCAGGCCATAGCAGAGAGCTGGGTGAAGAGGAGCAGCCGGGACTCAAACCAGTGCCCATATGGGATCCAGCGCTGCAGGTTGAGGATTAACCTACTGTGCCAAAGCACTGGCTCTTAATGTATATTTTTGAAAAGGTACTTGGAAACTTATGAGGAATGATAATTTTCAAAAGACTATACAGCCGGTGCCGTGGCTCAATAGGCTAATCCTCCACCTTGTGGTGCCGGCACACCGGGTTCTAGTCCCGGTTGGGGCACCGGATTCTGTCCCGGTTGCCCCTCTTCCAGGCCAGCTCTCTGCTGTGGCCCGGGAGTGCAGTGGAGGATGGCCCAAGTGCTTGGGCCCTGCACCCCATGGGAGACCAGGAGAAGCACCTGGCTCCTGCCTTCGGATCAGCGTGGTGCGCCGGCCGCGGCGGCCATTGGAGGGTGAACCATCGGCAAAGGAAGACCTTTCTCTCTGTCTCTCTCTCACTGTCCACTCTGCCTGTCACACACACACACACACACACACACACAAAAGACTATACAGTTGGGGCTGGCAATGTGGCTCCTGGTTTTGGATCAGCATAGTTCCGGCCCTAGCGGCCATTTGGGGGGGTGAACCAACAGAAGGAAGACCTTTCTCTCTGTCAAATAAATAAAAATAAAAAGACTATACAACTGCAAGCCAAAATAAACCTTCTTTCCTCATGCCCCCCTCAAAAAGTCTTAAGTGTACCACTAAGTCTTAGTGTATCAATAAAAGACCACTAAATGTTGGAATTTGAAGTCAAAAGCAGAAAACTCTGATAAATTTAATGTTAACTCCAGGTGAGCGCATGGGCTCTGGAGCCAGCCAGATCTAAGGGTGAATCCTAGCTCTGCCACTTTTTCTATCAATTAGTTGAATGTTTTTCACAATCATTTAATTCTGTGAGCCTTGGGCTTCACATCTATCTCTATCAAGTGAGGGTATTAAGATTTCTTTCTTCCTTTTTTTTTTTTTTTGACAAGCAGAGTGGACAGTGAGAGAGAGACAGACAGAGAGAAAGGTCTTCCTTTTCTGTTGGTTCACCCCCTAATGGCTGCTGCAGCCCGCGCGCCGTGCCAATCCGAAGACAGCAGCCAGGTGCTTCACCTGGTCTCCCATGCAGGTGCAGGGCCCAAGCACTTGGGCCATCCTCCACTGCACTCCCGGGCCACAGCAGAGAGCTGGCCTGGAAGAGGAGCAACCGGGACAGAATCTGGCGCCTCGACTGGCACTAGAACCTGGTGTGCCGGCGCCGCAGGCAGAGGATTAGCCTAGTGAGCCGTGGCGCCGGCCAAGATTTCTTGATCAGTTAAACATGTAGCAAGGCCTGGCACATAAGTGCTGAGAAGAGAATTCAAATAATTTCATTACCCATTTCAGTCTGAAATGTACCCTTCTCCACATTCTAACATCTCTGAAATTGGGATCATTACATAATTGAAGGAATGTCATTATTTAATTGGCAGCTTTTTTTTTTTTTTTAAAGATTTATCTATTTATTCGAAAGGGAGAGAGACAGAGAGAGAGAGAGAATGAGTCATCCATCCACTGGTTCACTCCGGCTGCAACGACCAAAGCTGGGCTGATATGAAGCCAAGAGTGTGGGTGCAGGGGCCCAAGGACTTGGGACATCTTCCACTGTTTTCCCAGGCCGGAGCAGAGAGCTGGACCAGAAGTGGAACAGCTGGGATTTGAACCAGTACTCATATGGATGCCGGCACTGCAGGCGGTGGGAAACCTGCTACACCACAGCGCCGGCCCCAGGAGCTTTTCTTTCTTAGGGTATCTAACAGCATATACAACATCACCTAAGAGTCAATACATTATGGCATCAAGTCGTGGTATCAAAGCTGTACTTCCAATATTTTAAGGTTATTCAGAATATGAGGATTATTCAGAATATGAGGATTTAAAAATTTCAAAATTTGATAAAACTCTCAGCATTTCATGAACAGAACAATTTTGAGACAAATTGTTTTTTAAAAAATGGTTTATCAGTTCCATTTTTGTATAAAACACGGAGAAACCTCGCCAATCAACACAACTGTTACCACATGAAAAGGTACTTTTATCAAACTTCCAAGTCTGAGAACGTACAAATGTTTCTTTTATCATGTCTACAGTAATTGTCTATGCTTTCCATTTAAATGTTTTAAAAATTCCACATATCCCCATGATTTCCTCTGTCCCCGTTACAGTACAATGATGGGGAGAACGAGGGCTGGGCGAAACAACCCTCTAAGCAGTTTTCTGTTGTCCCTTCTTTCCAATCAGAGATTTGTGGATGTGAGGGATCACACCTAGAATGAAATTTTAAAAGTTAGAATTAGAAACTTTTAAAGTGGCTACATCTTAACAGTGCCTCAAACCAAAAGCAGTGAATGATACAAAGAATGAAATTTGCTTAAGTACCTGTTCACATCTTGATCCTGTTAAGGTACACCTCTGGGGTCTGTGAACCCCTCCCTCTACACTGTGTGTAACTGTGTGACAGACTGCACTTAGAGAACAGTACCACAAGCTTTCATTAGCTACTCCAAGCGTAACCCAAATAAGATAAGGCACCAACTTGCCTCTCCCCTCACTGATCCTGACCCGTTTGGTTATTTCATCCCTTTCAAGGGTACCAGATTAAGCGATTTCTTATGATCATTTCTGAACATAGTTTAAGAGGTATGGGGAATATTTTAAACACCAAGCTTTAAGTATCACGTATGAAATTTAGACAAAGAACTGACTGAAACAAAAATAGCATTACTGTATGACTACAATGAGAACAAATATTTATTTAGATCATTATGAAAAGAAGACTACTTGTAGATTTAACATGGAAGTAAAGTGCATATACTTTCAATCATTTGAATTCACTGGATCAATGACCTAATGATATACTAATTAGAAAGACCAATAATAACACTGGCTTAAGTAATAATACTTAATACATACCACCCCCAGCTATGGTAGCCTTGATAAGAGAATCCAATTCTTCATCACCACGGATTGCAAGCTGCAAGTGACGTGGAGTGATACGCTTTACTTTGAGATCCTTGGAAGCGTTACCTGCCAGCTCCAGTACCTACAAGCAGCCGCGAGTTTACACATCAAACAAATGGTAAAGTATTTAAAGATTCTGTTATACCTAAAGGATCCAATTACAGCTAAAAATATAGCTAGCATCTGTAAATACAATACACAGATGATAAAAACAAACTGATAACACATCTTTCTTTCTTTTTTTTTGAGAGGCAGACTGGATAGTGAGAGAGATAAAGAAACAGAAAGAAAGGTCTTCCTTTTCCATTGGTTTACCCCACAATGGCTGCTGTGGCCGGTACACTGCGCCGATCCAAAGACAGGAGCCAGGTGCTTCTCCTGGTCTCCCATGGGGTGCAGGGCCCAAGTAGTTGGGCCATCCTCCACTGCACTCCCGGGCCACAGCAAAGAGCTGGCCTGGAAGAGGGGCAACCGGGACAGAATCTGGTGCCCCAACCGGGACTAGAACCTGGTGTGCCGGCGCCACAGGTGGAGGAGTAGCCTAGTGAGCTATGGCGGCGCCGGCCACATCTTTCTTTCTTGTATCTCTATTAATGCTTTTATATCACTCTCTTAGTACTTCATTTGACCCCTTATCATTCTCTGCAACAGAGGAGTAGGCAATAAGCTAGAAGTCTCTTATTCTATTATCTTTTTTTTTTTTTTTTTTAATTTATTTGACAGATAGAGTCAACGAGAAATTTCAAAATCCTAGTTAGGTACCAAACTGCATTTTTTGATTTTGCCTCTATAAACTGTGCTGGCATTATGGGAAGCTGTGTGAATTCCTCTATAGATAGGAAATCATTAGAGTAGAGCCTTGCTTGGTAAGATTGGTGTATATTAGTAGTCAACTGTTTAAAAGATTCATTTATTTGAAAGGCAGAGAGAGAGAGAGAGACTGATTGATTTCACCTGCTGGCTCACTCCCTACATGGCCACAACAGCCAGGCTTGGGCCAGGCTGAAGCCAAGAGCCTGGAACGCCACCTGAGTCTCCTACACGCATGGCAGGCAGTCTAAGCACTTAGATCATCCTCTGCTGCTTTCCCAGGCACGTCAGCAGGGAGCGGGATTGGAAGTGAAGCAGCGGGACTCGGACTGGCGCTCGTATGGAGCGCCAATGTTGTGGGCAGCAGCTTACCCCACTGCACAACAGTGGCCCCCAAAATGTATACATTTCTAAAAAGAGTATGTAAAACGACAAGACTTGGAAAGAAAGCTTCTCAACTAGAACTACGATGTCCACACAAATCCTCTTTCTCATAACAAGCAAACCAAAACTACTGTAATCGATGTCACATTTCCAGTGAGACAAGATGACTTGAAGTTACTGAAATGACAGCTGACAAACAGCTAAGACCTGCATCCCCGTCTGGCTCCACGCCACATCCTCCCCGGAGTAAGAACCCTCCTGCTTGCTGCTTCTGCCACCACGGGTGACTACACCACCTGCTTGCTTCTCTGATTCCCAGCCTGTCACACAGCTAACAGAGTTTCACAGCTCCACAGCTTCCCACTCACTTCTCAGGGGAGGAGTAGGGCTGAGCAACGTGCTGCTCCATGGCCTCGGAATTCAGAACCCTCGCTCAGGTGACTCATCTTTCTGGAAAGTCAGATTCAGCATGTACAACCAGCAGAGAACCACAAGGATTAATCAGATCTTTACCCTCTGATATCATCATAATATATTTTGCGATTTTTACATATCATGACACTGGCAAACTTTTACCCCACTCCAAAGCCTCATAAGCTAAGAGGCTTTGTGGTAACGTCACAAATATTGCCTATTGATAATAGGAATACTTCAGAGTTCAGTTCATTTATACTGCTTTTTTAATATGCATTGCTGGCCCTGGCTTAACTTTAAAAACAGGTACATGAAGGTTCTTTTTGATACTGCCACCAGGTGATGGGCTGACAACATTCATCTAAAACTGCTATTAAGCCAAAGAACATGTTTGTTTGTTTGTGGTATATTCTATGGGTTTCAGCCAATTAATTTAGAACTCCTTTTGAAATCCCACGTACAACAGACATCCCCTACAAACCTCAGCAGTGAGGTACTCCAGAATTGCAGCACTGTACACGGCAGCAGTGGCACCCACCCTTCCATGGCTCGTGGTGCGAGTCTTCAAGTGTCTGTGGATGCGGCCCACGGGAAACTGAAAGACAGACGTCTCAGTGAGAAGACTGTAACTGATGGTTGAATAACACGAATAAAGCGTGAGAAAACAAAAAGCTGCTCACACAGATCAGAAGCCAAACCTACAAGGGTACTTCAAAAAGATCTTAGGGAAAAAGAAATTAAAAGATGAGTTTATTTTGGAGCAAATTATTCTAAAGTACATTTGGCAATTAACAGTTTCCAGGGCCAGTGTGTGTATCCTGGTAATCTGCCTCTTTAACTTCTGCACGATATGAGCATTTCATCACGAAATAGAGAAGCTATGCTGTGCTACTACCAGAAACACACTCCACAAGGCTCCATCACAGCACTAACACCTGTCAGTCCCTCACCTAACAGCCGCCGATAACCATCTTTCTTGGCCTCTAACTTCACTGTTCTTCTCTCAGTTAAGGGTTGACTGTTAGCAAAGAAAAACCAATGCCATTCACTCATTGTGACTTTGTGCCTTCTGAGAAGAGGGCATGTTCTTATTTCCAAAGTATCCCAATTCTACTGTCTGCACAACGTATTCTCAACTCTCCTCACACTTCAGGGCCCCGTTATTTCAACAATTCCAATTAATTCCTCCACTGGCTCCTTTCCTTTCAGACTTTTCTCCACACATCTATGGTAACTATTCTACTACAGTTTAGATATCTTCTTTCCTAAGGCAAAATTTAAAAGCAAATCCTAAAACCCTTTTTTCTTGTCACCATTTCTCCCAACCCAAACCTGTCTTGTTAAACACTGCTCTTGAAGGCCAGCAGTGACATTTCAGTTACCGAATTTATCAGCTACTTCAAGATCTCATCCTTAGAGAGAAAAGGCATTTGCCCCCCCCCCCACCTTACACGTATTCCCTCATGAGTATAAGCTTCTTAAGAGTTGGATCCTGGAGGCCAGTGGTGTGGCGCAGTGGGTTCAGCTGTTGTCTGCAGTGCTGACATCCCACACATGCACCAGTTTGATTCCCGGCTGCTCCACTTAGGATCCAGCCTCCTGCTAATGTACCTAGGAAAGCAGTGAAAGATAGCCCAAGTGCTTGGGCCCCCATACCCACGTGGGAGACCCAGAAAAAGTTCCTGGCTCCTGGCTTCAGTCTGGACCAGCTCTGACCATTGTGATCATTTGGAAAATATACCAGTGGATGGAAGACCTCTCTCTCTCTTTCTCTATGTAACTTTGCCTTTCAAATAAATAAATAAATCTTAAAAAAAAAAAAAAAAGATGGGGCGGGCGCTTATGGCGCCAGCATCCCATATGGGTGCTAGTTCGAGTCCTTACTGCTCCACTTTTTTTTTTTTTTTTTTGACAGGCACAGTTAGACAGTGAGAAAGAGAGACAGAAAGGTCCTCCTTCCATTGGTTCACCCCCCAAATGGCTGCTATGGCCGGTGCTGCACCGATCCCAAGCCAGGTGGCAGGTGCTTCCTCCTGGTCTCCCACGCGGGTGCAGAGCCCAAGCACTTGGACCATCCTCCACTGCACTTCCGGGCCACAGCAGAGAGCTGGACTGGAAAAGGAGCAACCTGGACAGAATCTGGCACCCTAATCGGGACTAGAACTTGGGGTGCCAGCACCACAGGTGGAGGAATAGCTTAGTAAGCCACAGCGCCGGACAACTGCTCTACTTCTGATCCAGCTCTCTGCTATGGTCTTGGAAAGCAGAAGATGGCCCAAGTGCTTGAGCCCCTGTACCTGCGTGGGAGACTAGGAAGAAGCTCTGGGATCCTGGCTTCAAACTGGTCCACTTCCAGCTGTTGTGGCCTTCTAGGGGTGAACCAGCAGATGGAAGACCTCTTTCTCTGTCTCTCCCTCCTTCTCTCTATCTGTAACTCTACCTCTCAAGTAAATAAATAAATCTTAAAAAGGGGTGGGGAGGGAAGAATGGATCCTTAGTGAGTGTGGTATGTTGTTTGTTATACAAAAACATTTCTTCTCAAGCTAAAGAAACTACAGTTTTATTTTTTGTTTTTATTTTATTATTTTTAAAAACATTTTTAGTTATTTATTTGAGAGGTAGAGTTACAGACAGTGAGAGAGACAGAGAGAACGGTCTTCCTTCTGTTGGTTCACTCCCCAAATGGCTACAATGGTCAGAGCTGCGGTGATCTGAAGCCAGGAGCCAGGTACTTATCCTGGTCTCCCATGGGGTGCAGGGCCCAAGGACCTGGGCCATCCTCTACTGCCTTCCCGGGCCACAGCAGAGAGCTGGACTGGAAGAGGAGCAACCGGGACTAGAACCCGGCGCCCATATGGGATGCCAGCGCCGCAGGCGGAGGATTAACCTAGTGCGCCAAGGTGCTGGCCCCAACAGTTTTATTTTTTAAATCAATACACACGAGACCGAGCGTCTTGGGTTGCTGCAAGAGCACAGCAGACCGGCATGGTAAAAAGACAGCTTTCTGGGCTGCCGACTATAACACCAGCATCCCATAGGGGCGCTGGTTCAAGTCCTGGATGCTCCACTTCTTTTTTTTTTTTTTTTAAAGATTTATTTATTTAATTGAAAGTTAAGAGTTCACAGAGAGAGGAGAGGCAGAGAAACAGGTCTTCCATCCGATGGTTCACTCCCCAATTGGCCGCAAAGGCCGGAACTGCACCAATCCGAAGCCAGGAGCCAGGAGCTTCTTTCAGGTCTCCCACGTGGGTGGGACTTTGGGCCATCTTCTACTGCTTTCTCAGGCCATAGCAGAGAGCTGCATGGGAAGTGGAGCAGCCGGGTCTTGAACCGATGCCCATGTGGGGTGCCAGCACTTCAGGCCAGGGCATTAACCTGCTGTGCCACAGCACCAGCCCCCTGGCTGTTCCACTTCTGATCTAGCTTTCTGCTAACATATTTGGAGAAGCAGGGAGAAGACAGCCCAAGCACTTGGGCCCTGCCACCCATCTGGGAGACCTGCACAGAGTTATAGGCTCTTGGTTTCTGCCAGGTCCAGTCCTGGCAATTATGGTCATTTGTGGTTCAACGATCTTTCTATCTCCCCCTCTCTCTACAACTCTGTCTTTCAAATACACACACACACACACACACCCCTTTATTTTGAGCAGGGGGAATGACAGCTTAGTACGTAAAGCTACACTGCAGTTTGAATCCTGCTTTATATAGAGTTCTAATATTAATACTCTGAGTAAAAAAAAAAAAAATACTCTGAGTACTACCCAGTCTTTTCTTCCCTGGACTCAAAAAACCATGTGTTTCTGAGGGGCATACCAATCTCTTTGTGTTCCTTTCCCGTCCACTGAGGTTATGAAACTCATCTACTGCTTGAACTATCAACTCTACATAAATGATCCCATCTCTTTTAGAAAGCTGGACTCATGTTTCCAACTTCCAAGCACTTCACATAGATGCTTCAGCGAACTCCAAAATGATTCCACTCAAATTTCTCTCATAACTTACCCTATTCTTATTTAAGCTCCCTGGTCCCTTAAATTCTGTGCCTTAGAAAAACTTCTGATCTCCTCTCCATTGACTACATCCACATTCTTTCTATTCATTTTCATCTCACTCTAAGCATGCAATAACCTCCATTTAAGTATGCTTCTAAATAAACTGAGACTTTACATGGAACCCTAAAATGTACAATGAGTGCATCAAGGTTGTCTTCACCTCCCTCGTTATCACCTGGATCGTGTCATCCTCTTGGCGCAAACTCTCAATGGTTTGTCACTGCCTAGAAGATAAAACCCAAACCTTACAGTCCAGCCTCCCATCTTCCCTACTTCACACTGCTTCTTATCATATAAAAAGTAATTCTTACTCATCCAGAAAATTCTGAGTGTGAGTTAAAGTTGCAACAATTCAAATATGCAAACTTGGAAAATGTTTTAGTGGTTTTGAATAGATCATAGTCTAAAAGAAGGCTACCGGGGAAATATCTTCACAGAACCAGGGAACAGTTCATTATTTTTCCCTTAAATTTCATCTCATCCTGAAAGTTAATGTACCATTACAAACACCTTTAATAGAAAAACCACACCATACTCACTTTAATAGGATACAATTAAAAACCTAGGTATATGATTATTATCTTAAAATAACATTTTGAACAGGATAAAATTACCAAATTCATTAAGATAAGTCCTTTTTATAATTTGTTCTTGTTTAGAAGAGAACACAATAGCTAATTTTAAGCCTTGACCAATTAATCACATAACTAAAAGCCTTTAATAATACAAGTAGACTTTCTGTAATTAATGGCACATCCATGGGCCACCAACTGCAACAGTGAACAGAAGAATTCAGTATTGAACATAAGAGCAGAGATTCATCACCTGCAGCCCAGCCCTCTGTGAGCGAGACACTGCCTTGGCCTTGGCCTTCCCGCTGTCCTTCCCAGCTTTGCCTCCAGCCTGCATGGAAATTCAAAATATGAGGTTTCCACAAATACAAAAATTCCTTAATTTTCAGACTGAAGAATTATGCAAGTCAATCTAACTTTTATGCACACTTAAAATAGTGCATAATTAGATGATTTTTAAAAATATCAACATATTATTTCCACAAAATATATTCAGAACTTAGCTGTTTTGAGAGAAAAAATAAAAAGCTACCAAAAAAAAATCCCCTAAAAATTCAACAGAATTGTCATATGAACCAGTAATTCCACTTCTAGGTATATACCCCCAAATCAAATGCAAGTTATTTGCATACTCACGTTCATAGCATTATTCACAAGGGTCAAAAGGTAGACTCAATCCAAGTATCCACTGATGGATGAGTGGATAAAATGAGATGCATACATATAATGGAATAGTGTTCAGTTTTTTTTTTTTTTTTTTTTTTTTTGACAGGCAGAGTGGACAGTGAGAGAGAGAGAGACAGAGAGAGAAAGGTCTTCCTTTACCATTGGTTCATCCTCCAATGGCCGCTGTGGCTGGTGCGCTGCGGCCGGCACACCGTGATGATCCGAAGCCAGGAGCCAGGTGCTTCTCCTGGTCTCCCATGCGAGTGCAGGGCCCAAGGACTTGGGCCATCCTCCACTGCCTTCCTGGGCCACAGCCTAGAGAGCTGGCCTGGAAGAGGGGCAACCAGGACAGAATCCGGCGCCCCAACCGGGACTAGAACCCGGTGTGCTGGCGCTGCTAGGTGGAGGATTAGCCTATTGAGCCGTGGCGCCAGCCCAGTGTTCAGTTTTAAAAAAGAAATTCTGGGGCTGGCATTGCATCGCAGGTTAAGTTGCCATTTGCCACACTGGCTACCTTTATCTGAGTGCTGGTTCGAATTCTAGCTGCTTCACTTCTTTTTTCCTAAGATTTATTTATTTATTTGAAAGTCACAGTTAGAGAGAGAGAGAGAGAGTTATCGATCCTCCACCCGAAGGTTCTCTCCAGATGACTGCAATGACCGGAGCTGCACTGATCTGAAAGCTTCTTCGGGGTCTCCCACAGTGCAAGGGCTCAAGGTCATGGGCCATCTTCCACTGCTTTCCCTGGCCATAGCAGAGAGCCGCATTGGAAGTGGAGCAGCCAGGACTCAAACCAGGCCCATATGGGGTGCCGGCACTACAGGCGGTGGCTTTACCCACCATGCCACTGAGCTGGCCCCAGCTGCTTCCCTTCCTACCCAGTTCCCTACTAATGCGCCCAGGAAAGCAGTGGAGGATGGACCAAGTGCTTGGGCCCTGCACCCATGTGGGAGATCAGCATAGTGTTCCAGGATGCTGGCTTCAGCCTGGCCCAGTCCTGCTGTTTCAGACATTCGGGGAGTGAACTAGAGGATGGAAGATCTCTCTGTCACTCTGCCTGTCAAACAAAAAACCTTTAAAAGAGAGAGAGGGGGCCGGTGCCGCGGCTCACTAGGCTAATCCTCCGCCTTGCGGCGCTGGCACACCGGGTTCTAGTCCCGGTCGGGGCGCTGGATCTGTCTCGGTTGCCCTCTTCTAGGCAGCTCTCTGCTGTGGCCCAGGAGGGCAGTGGAGGATGGCCCAAGTCCTTGGGCCCTGCACCCCATGGGAGACCAGGAGAAGCACCTGGCTCCTGCCATCGGATCAGCATGGTGTGCTGGCCACGGTGGCCATTGGAGGGTGAACCAATGGCAAAGGAAGACCTTTGTCTCTGTCTCTCTCTCTCTCTCTCACTGTCCACTCTGCCTGTCAAAAAAATAAAAAATAAAATAAAAATAAATTAAAAAGAGAGAGAGGGGGAATTCTGACATGTTACAATAGGGAAGAACCTTAAGGACATTATGCTGAGGGAAATAAGCCAATCGTACAAGAGAAATGGTACACCATTCCACTTCATACAAGTTCCTCAGGGTAGTCCGATTCATAGGCAGAAAACGGAATTGTGGTTGTCGGGCACTACAGGAGGTGAAAACTGGAAGTTACTGTTCAACTGAAGACTTTCAGTCCTGGAACATCAAAAAATTCTACAGAGAGATGGATGATGGTTGCACAATGTGATTGTACTTAATGCTAGTGAACTGTAAAACAAAAAATGTTTAAAAAAGTAAACTTTATTATGTATACTTTATCACACACACAAAAAGGACCTTCAGGGGCCTGTGCTGTGGTGCAGCGGGTAACGCCCTGGCCTGAGGCAATGGCATCTCATATGGGCACAGGTTCAAGACCCAGCTGCTCCGCTTCCAATCCAGCTCTCTGCTGTGGCCTGGGAAAGCAGTGGAAGATGGCCCAAGTCCTTGGGCCCCTGCACCCGCGTGGGAGACCCAGAAGAAGCTCCTGGATTCTGGCTTTGGATCAGCGCAGCTCTGGCCATTGCGGCCAACTGGGGAGTGAACCAGCGTATAGAAGACCTCTCTCTCTCTCTGCCTCTCCTCTCTGTGTAACTCTTTCAAATAAATAAATAAATCTTAAACAACAACAATAACAACAACAAAAAGGATCTTCACAAATACTACTTTCAACTGATAGAAAATAAGTACTTCTTAAATAATCTTAACGTCCACGAACAGAATGGTCAAATATATCATAGTATATAAACGCAATAGAGTGTTATCCAGTTATTTCAAGAAATGAATTAAAATATGCACTGATATAGACCACGCTACAAAACCTATTTCTATGTGAAAAAGGTGTACAAGTACAATGTGCTGTTCTTTACGTAAAAATGGGGTATTATAGAGTATGTGTGTTCACATATATTTCTAGTAGGTGACACAAGTTATTAAAGTTTTTTTTTTTTTTTACAGGCAGAGTGGACAGTGAGAGAGAGAGACAGAGAGAAAGGTCTTCCTTTTGCCGTTGGTTCACCCTCCAATGGCTGCTTCGGCCGGCGCGCTGCGGCCGGTGCACTGAGCTGATCCGATGGCAGGAGCCAGGTGCTTCTCCTGGTCTCCCATGGGGTGCAGGGCCCAAGCACCTGGGCCATCCTCCATGCACTCCCTGGCCACAGCAGAGAGCTGGCCTGGAAGAGGGGCAACCGAGACAGAATCCGGCGCCCCAACCGGGACTAGAACCCAGTGTGCTGGCGCCGCAAGGCGGAGGATTAGCCTAGTGAGCCTCGGCGCCGGCCTCAAGTTATTAAAGTTATTTTCTGATAGGGAACACAAAATATCTGCTTTAAGAAAATTATTTTCCCTTTTGTACCATTTGATTTACTATTTAAATCTATTATTTCTTCACTTAAAAACAGTTGGTTAAAAATGTAAGTTACCAGAATTGGCTAGTGAGAGTATGCTTCCACAGAGGATAAGCTTTGAATCAGCATATTCCTTTCGTAATGCTTTCCTTACAGAAGTTTAAGCAAACAAACCTACCAACCCCACAACCTTGTATAGTCCCTCTAATTTCATGTCTCAGTGGATCACTTGCCTATTTCCCAAAATCATATCCGAGGGGGAGAATGAACGCTTTGGAGGTATTAAAACAAGGAAATAAAAAAATAAAACTTAAGAACTGATTTATATTCTTTGTTACAATTCAACAAAAGAGACTGATTTAAGTTTACCAGAGAGAATTAAAACTCTAGAGGTTTTGGGGCCGGTGCTGTGGCGCAGTGGGTTAACACCTGGCTTGAAGCACCAGCATCCCATGTGGGCGCCGGTTCTAGTCCCAGCTGCTCCTCTTCCGATCCAGCTCTCTGCTGTGGCCTGGGAAAGCAGTGGAGGATGGCCCAAGTGCTTGGGCCCCTGCACCCATGTGGGAGACCTGGAAGAAGCTCCTGGCTCCTGGCTTCGGATCAGCGCAGCTCCGGCCGTTGCAGCCATCTGGGGAGTGAACCAGTGGATGGAAGACCTCTCTCTCTCTGTCTCTGCCTCTCTCTGTAACTCTGCCTTTCAAATAAATAAAATAAATCTTCTAAAAAAAAATCTTTAAAAAAATAAAATAAAATAAAAATTAAAAAGTCTCTAGAGGTTTTTACCAGGATGCCATATATATAAGTATGCATTTTAACGTGTTTCTGTTTAACTGAGAGGCAGGGAGACAGACAGGGAGGTCTCAGCGAGTTCATTCCTTGAACACCAAAGGGTGAGAGATGACCTGAACAAAGACACTGGCACATGGGACGCAGTGTCTGAGCCTCTTCTATTTCTATAACTTTTGACTATCTTGCCATATAACTACATTTTTACATGACTTTTGAGATATTCTCACCATTCCTCAAATAAAGAAACCTTTCCATCTCTTTTCCCTAGTATAAAATATTTTTAAAACTCTCAACTGGTATATGGGTCTAAATCCTAATCAGTCTCCCTGACTAGATTAACAAATACCTAAGTCGTTAATTAAAAGCCATCAAGTGCAAAATTCCCCAGGCTTCCCAGTTTATACAGTAACTTTTCGGCTTAAGCAATTTGATCCTCACTGTTTCAAAACTGTCACATTTGCTGCTGTATTTACTTGTGTTTTAGGGAAGTAGACATAACCAGATTTTTAAAGCCTCAATACATAGAATGATTATTTCCAAGGCTCCAAATAAATTTTTTATACTGAATAAAATCAAGGTTGTATAGCATCAAACCTATCTGAATGTAAAATTACATAGTGAATGCTTCCCCAAACCCCCTCACACTGTACACGTACTTTATGCATTTTAATACACTCAGCGGGAGAGAGAGACAGAGAGGTCCTCCATCCTTTGGGGAGAGAGAGAGAGAGGGAGGTCCTCCATCCGCTGGGGAGAGAGAGAGAGAGAGAGGTCCTCCATCCGCTGGGGAGAGAGAGAGAGAGAGAGGTCCTCCATCCGCTGGGGGGAGAGAGAGAGAGAGAGGTCCTCCATCCGCTGGGGAGAGAGAGAGAGGGAGGTCCTCCATCCGCTGGGGAGAGAGAGAGAGAGAGGGAGGTCCTCCATCCGCTGGGGAGAGAGAGACAGGTCCTCCATCCGCTGGGGAGAGAGAGAGAGGTCCTCCATCCGCTGGGGAGAGAGAGAGAGGGCCTCCATCCGCTGGG